TTGTGTTAATGATGTTTTTTCTGTAGGTGCCGGTAATCCGGTGTGTTGGAGCTGTTGTTCTGCATGCGGCGGTAAACATCTGGTGGTGGCAGACACTGTTTTGTAAGTAATGATCCTAGCCTTCAATCATCTTCCACATGCAACTGCGCTTCAGTTCTAGGTAGAGCTGACTCTGATCATCTGTATATGGTAAGCACATCTGAAAAGCGTTTCTCTTCTCTGGGTTTTGTTTGACCGTACGCTACAGCACATCTGGTCAGCGTTTCTCTTCTCTGGGTTTTGTTTGACCGTACGCTACAGCACATCTGGTAAGCGTTTCTCTTCTCAGGTTTTTGTTTGACTGTACGCTCCGGCACATCTGGTAAGCGTTTCTCTTCTCAGGTTTTTGTTTGACCGTACGCTCCGGCACATCTGGTCAGCGTTTCTCTTCTCAGGTTTTTGTTTGACCGTACGCTACGGCACATCTGGTCAGCGTTTCTCTTCTCTGGGTTTTGTTTGACCGTACGCTACAGCACATCTGGTAAGCGTTTTTGTTTGACCGTACGCTACAGCACATCTGGTCAGCGTTTCTCTTCTCTGGGTTTTGTTTGACCGTACGCTTCGGCACATCTGGTAAGCGTTTTTGTTTGACCGTACGCTCCGGCACATCTGGTCAGCGTTTCTCTTCTCTGGGTTTTGTTTGACCGTACGCTCCGGCACATCTGGTCAGCGTTTCTCTTCTCAGGTTTTTGTTTGACCGTACGCTCCGGCACATCTGGTCAGCGTTTTTGTTTGACCGTACGCTACAACACATCTGGTCAGCGTTTCTCTTCTCTGGGCTTACTTACTACATCAGCAGGTATTTAAGATCTTGTTCATCCGTACTTATAGTAGTTTCCAGAAATGTTTTTGATTTATCTATAATTGACTGCAGATTGGAACCCGTTGGACCTGAAGCAGTGGAGAAGCTTTGCCTGGAGATACTGGATCTGCAAGCTCAGTTCTGAGAATGAAGCTGTTTGACCTGCTGGGGTAATGCTAACTCATGAGGTAAGTGTGACATGATTGAGATGCTCTGATCACCCTAACTGTTTTTTCCTTTGCACAGGCCCATTACACCGCCTGTCCAGCTCTTCACTCCAGTGTTGGGGTACCATGGACCATCTGTGTAGCAGGAGGTGAGGGTTTCCACTGCCAATTTTCCAGATTTCGATCCAGAACCGCTTTGTCCCCTCCAAGACTGATTGGTGTTTTATTATAAGACACTTGATTAGGCACACCTGGTGCTTACGTTAATGATGTATTTGCAGGTTCCTGTGATCCTAAATGCTGATTAACATCAACTCTCGTACTCCATGTGGCAGTGATCATCAAGCTGCAGCAGATGGAGATCCCTGAAGAGTGGCGTCTGGAGCCTTAGTGAAACCAAACTTGAGGAACATCCTCCATTTAAAGACAAGGATATTAACGGTTCAGTATAATCTTTGCTCTGAATTCATGGTTATGTTGTGAATGTAAGCTGCTTTTTAATTCCTAGGGTGATTACTGTGAGCATCCTTGGCTCGTCCAAGCTGAATGTCTGCACTACAGTAGATCTGGACCTGAACTCATCACACAACATCTCCAGGATGATTTGCACTACTTGACTAGTGAGTACATTCTTATCTTTTTATTTTATTTATTTATTTTTTTTATAACATTGTCATTGGTTGTCTAGATTTATAGTCTGGGTGAGGAGCTAGAGGTGGTCAAGTACTGCTGCAAGATCATGGATCTGTGAGTGGAGTTGCAGTTTGAGCTGGAGGCAGTGGAGAAGCTTTACCTGGAGGTCGTGGATCTGCAAGAGTTCTTGGATTGAAGACTATCTTGATCTACTGGGCTGATGCTCACTCCTCTCAGGTAAGTTTGCAGAATGATGTTGATACTCCATTAGCTCAACGGTGTCTTCCTCTGCGCAGGCCCGGGTGTTCACACCAGCACTGGGGTACTGTGGAACGTGTGCAGCAGAAGGCGAGAGTCTCTCCTTTCAGATCCTCACCTAGGACTGATTTGCCCCTCAGATGTAATGGGACTGAACATTGGGGACTTCATAGTTTCGGCACATCTGTAATTCACTAAAGGTAAGGTGTGTTTGTTCGTTCTCTTTTCCTGTTGCTCGTGTTAATGAGGTTTCTGCAGGTCTAAGCATGGAGCTGTTCTGCATGCACTGTTGAAGATCTGGTTGCAGCAGATGGAGGTCCTGAAGAGAGGAATCCAGGAGTCTGATCAAGATTCTGCATGTGGTTTCAGCACTACTCATTGCGGAGGACACATGGTTTAGTAGACTGTTATTCTCTAAATGAATATGTTGGTATAAAAGAACAAACTGCTTTTATAATTTTGTTTTCTGTGAGTGTTCTAGGCTTAGTGCTCAACAGAAGATCTGGATCTGAACCCCTGTTGCCTCTCCAGGATGCTTTATAATATCGGACCTCAGTTTATTGACAATAACGTGAGTGTGCACAGCACTACAGACAGCAGAAATACTGAAGAATATTTATTTATTTATAATTAATTCACTAATACTGTTATCTTTAAGTGCAGGTGAGGTCTTGGGTCTGCAAGCTAAGTTCTTGGATTTGAGTTTTGCTTGAGGTACTGGACTGATGTTTGCTTGTTGGAGGTAAGGTTCTGGAATAATACTCCAATCAGCTTGACTGTTTTCTCTGCACAGGCCCACTACAGGGCCTGTCCAGGTTTTTGTTCCAGCACTGAGGTACTGCTGACCATGCGACAAGCAGAGGGCAAGGTTCTGCCAGCCTTCCAGATCTCCACCCTGAACCGCTTGGCCCCCTCTGAGACTGACTGGGACTCTAATCACTGGCCACTGAAGGTAAGTCACAAACTTTTCCTAATGCTTGTCTTAATATCTTATGTTAAAGTTTTCTGCAGAGGCGGAGTTAAACTGCTGTCAGTCATCATCTCCAGGAGTCTCCACACTAGACCAAGTAAATTTCTCTGAGCATTTCACACACTCTGAACACTACACAGACCCATCAAATAACATTTTTATATTTTGTCTTTAGTTTTTATACAGTGTTGGGTGAGGAGCTAGAGGTGGTCAAGTACTGCTGCAAGATCATGGATCTGTGAGTGGAGTTGCAGTTTGAGCTGGAGGCAGTGGAGAAGCTTTACCTGGAGGTCGTGGATCTGCAAGAGTTCTTGGATTGAAGACTTTATCTTGATCTACTGGGCTGATGCTCATTCCTCCCAGGTAAGTTTGCAGAATGATGTTGATACTCCATTAGCTCAACGGTGTCTTCCTCTGCGCAGGCCCGGGTGTTCACACCAGCGCTGGGGTACTGTGAAACGTGTGCAGCAGAAGGCGAGAGTCTCTCCTTTCAGATCCTCACCTAGGACTGATTTGCCCCTCAGATGTAATGGGACTGAACATTGGGGACTTCATAGTTTTGGCACATCTGTAATTCACTAAAGGTAAGGTGTGTTTGTTCGTTCTCTTTTCCTGTTGCTCGTGTTAATGAGGTTTCTGCAGGTCTAAGCATGGAGCTGTTCTGCATGCACTGATGAAGATCTGGTTGCAGCAGATGGAGGTCCTGAAGAGAGGAATCCAGGAGTCTGATCAAGATGCTGCACGTGGTTCAGGACTGCTCATCGCTGAGGACGCATGGTTTAGTAGACTTTTATTCTCTAAATGAATATGTTGGTATAAAAGAACAAACTGCTTTTTTATATTAACTAATGTTTTCTGAGTGTTCTAGGCTTCATGCTGATGGTTTACTCGCCAGAAGATCTGCAGGATCCTTCATAATATCTGACATAAATTAATTCACAATAATGTGAGTGTGGCACTGCACTACAGACAGCACTAAAACTGATGATATTTGTTCACTAATACTGGTCTGCCATTTTGAGTGCAGGTGGAAACTCGAGCTGCAGTTGAAGCAGTGAAGAAGCTTTGCTGGAGGTGCTGGATCTGCAAGCTCAGTTCTTGGATTTGAGTCTTGCTTGATGAAGTGGACTGATGTTTGCTTATCTGAGGTAAGTTTTGTGGAATGATGTTGATACTCCATTAGCTCAACGATGTCTTCCTCTGCGCAGGCCCAGGTGTTCACACCAGCGTTGGGGTACTGTGGAACGTGTGCAGCAGAAGGTGAGGGTCTCTTCTCCCAGCCTTTCAGACCCCCACCTAGAACAGGTTTGCCCCTCAGATGTAATGGGACTGAACATTGGCGACTCCATAGTTTTGGCACATCTGTAATTCACCAAAGGTAAGGTGTGTTTGTTCGTTCTCTTTTCCTGTTGCTCGTGTTAATGAGGTTTCTGCAGGTCTAAGCATGGAGCTGTTCTGCATGCACTGTTGAAGATCTGGTTGCAGCAGATGGAGGTCCTGAAGAGAGGAATCCAGGAGTCTGATCAAGATTCTGCATGTGGTTCAGGACTGCTCATCGCTGAGGACGCATGGTTTAGTAGACTTTTTTTTTTTTTTTTTTTTCTCCTTAAATAAATAATACTGGTATAAAAGAACAAACTGCATTTTATTCTTTGTTTTCTGTGAGTGTTCTAGGCTTTATGCTGATGGTTCGCTTCCTAGAAGATCTGGATCTGAACCCCTGTCGCACGACATCTCCAGGATGTTTCATAATATCTGACTCAAGTTAATTCACATTAAGGTGAGTGCGCACACTGCACTACAGACAGCAGAAATACTCATCTAATACTGCGTCTAGCTTAAGACTGGTTATCAAATCAATAACACCGAGTCGATCACTCCAGTTATCTTAATTGTCTTCCACTGCACAGGCCCAGTACATGCCATGCCCTGATGTTCAGCCCAGCACTGCGGTACTGTGCACTGTGTGAAGGCGAGGGTCTCTCTTCCACTGCCAATCTTCCCGATTTCCACCCGGAACCGCTTTGCCCCCTTTGAATGATTGTGACTGATCACTGGCCACTTCATCGTCTGTCTCATCTGCAGTAAATCCATTAACGGTATGTCACACAATTACTGTATTCCCAATGCTTGTGTTAATGATGTTTTTTCTGTAGGTGCCGGTAATCCGGTGTGTTGGAGCTGTTGTTCTACATGCGGTGGTAAACATCTGGTGGTGGCAGACACTGTTTTGTAAGTAATGGTCCTAGCCTTCAATCATCTTCCACATGCAACTGCGCTTCACTTCTAGGTAGAGCTGACTCTGATCATCTGTATATGGTAAGCACATCTGAAAAGCGTTTCTCTTCTCAGGTTTTTGTTTGATCGTACGCTTCTGCACATCTGGTAAGTGTTTCTCTTCTCAGGTTTTTGTTTGATCGTACGCTTCTGCACATCTGGTAAGTGTTTCTCTTCTCAGGTTTTTGTTTGACCGTACGCTTCGGCACATCTGGTCAGCGTTTCTCTTCTCAGGTTTTTGTTTGACCGTACGCTCCGGCACATCTGGTCAGCGTTTCTCTTCTCAGGTTTTTGTTTGACCGTACGCTTCTGCACATCTGGTCAGCGTTTCTCTTCTCAGGTTTTTGTTTGACCGTACGGTTCGGCACATCTGGTAAGCGTTTCTCTTGTCAGGTTTTTGTTTGCCCGTACGCTTCTGCACATCTGGTCAGCGTTTCTCTTCTCAGGTTTTTGTTTGACCGTACGGTTCGGCACATCTGGTCAGCGTTTCTCTTCTCAGGTTTTTGTTTGACCGTACGCTACGGCACATCTGGTCAGCGTTTCTCTTCTCAGGTTTTTGTTTGACCGTACGGTTCGGCACATCTGGTCAGCGTTTCTCTTCTCAGGTTTTGTTTGACCGTACGCTTCGGCACATCTGGTAAGCGTTTCTCTTCTCAGGTTTTTGTTTGACCGTACGCTACGGCACATCTGATAAGTGTTTCTCTTTTGCAGGGTCCTTTTAAGAGTGTGGTTTTTTTGGTTTACATTTTCTTTTTGTCCCTTCAATTTAGTGCAAAAAAAGAAAACCTCAGTTTCCTTTTTTTTTTTTTAGGATCAAATAGGTGAAGATCACCAATGTTTCCCACAATTTAATTTTAGTTTAGATTAAAGTTGCAGAGATTAATTTGAGTCTCTTCCTTTTAACACAAAGAGAACAGAGTAGGAACCTCTGCCTTTGTACATTTATCATATATTTATCATCTTGTTTTCATATTGATGTTTTCAGTTTAACTCTACCATTTTGAGTGCAGGTGAGGAGCTGTTGAGCTGCAGGCAGTGGAGAAGCTTTGCCTGGAGGTCCTGGATCTGTAAGCTCATTTCTGGTAATGGAGCTATTAAACCTACTCTGTTGGCATTTACTTATCTAAGGTATTGTGGACCATGTGTACGACAGAATGCAATATTCTCCTTCACTTCCAATCTTCCAGATCTCCACTCAGAATAACTTTGCCCCCTATGATACTGATTTGGACTGATCATTAGCTATTCACTAAAGCTATTCTATTAAGGGTGTCTAATATTTCTGTTGTTTGTCAGGTTGCTGTGATTTTTTTTGAATGCTCAAACATCAGCTGTCATACGCTGGGGTGGTCAACATCAAGCTGCAGCAGATGGAGATCCTAAGGAGTGGTGTCAGGAGCCTGATCAAAATGGACAATCCTCCCTGTAATGATTAAGATATTAGTGGTTCATTTTTTTCTGAATAAATGATTATCATGCTGTCAACAGAAACTACTTTTAATTATTGTGTTTTCTATGGGCCTCCTAGGCTTCTTGGTGCTGACGCTCTACATCCCATCATAGCTGAACTTTTGTTCTATCTGGCTAGTAGGAAAGTTTCTGAGCATTTCTCACACTATAAATGCTATAGATGACACTAATTCTTGTGATTTTATATTGTCATACTATTATTTATCTATTTATTGTGGATGAGGAGCTAGAGGTGGTGACGCTTTGCAGCAAGAACGTGGATCTGGGAGTGAAGTTGAAGATGAGCAGGAGGCAGTGGAGAAGCTTTACCTGGAGGTTCTGGATCTGCAAGCTGAGTTCTAGGATTGAAGACTTTAGCTTGATTATCTTGGGCTGATGCTTGTTCATCGGAGGTAAGTTTGCAGAATGATGTTGATGCTACAATCAGCTTAACGGTGTCTTCCTCTGCACAGGCCCAGGTGTTCACTCCAGTGTTGGTCTACTGTGGATCATGTGTGAAGCAGAAGGTGAAGGTGTCCTCCCAGCCTTCCACATCCCCACAAGAAATGCTTTGCTACCTCCGAGATGCAATCGGACTGAGCATTAGCGACTCCACAGTTAAGCACATCTATATTATATCTACTAAAGATGAGGTGTACTGCTATGAAGAACAAACAGCTTTATAACAACAAATGTTTCCTTTGAGTGTTCTGGACTTCATGCTGATGGTTTGCTCACCAGCAGTTCTGGATCTATATCCTTGTTGGACAACATCTCCAAGATGCTTCATATTATCTGAGATGAGTTGATTCACAATACTGTGAGTGCACACACTGCACTAAAGACAGCAGTAATACTGATATATTTTATAATATGTATAAATTCACTGATAGTGTTACTTTTTGGAGTGCAGGTGCGGAGTCATCAAGCTGCAGTTGGAGCAGGAGGCAGTGGAGAAGCTTTTCCTGAAGGTCCTGGATCTGTAAACTCAGTTCTTGGATTTGAATATAGCCTGATTAACTAAGCTGATATTTGCTTATCTATTTTTAGTTTGTGGTTTGTTAATCAGCTCAACTGTGTGTTCCTCTGCACAGGCTCAGTAAACGGCCAACCCAAGTGTTCACTCCTGTGCTGGTGTACAATGGACCATGTGTAAAGCAGAAGGCAAGGTTCTCCTCCACTGCCGACCTTCCAGATGTCCACCCAGAAGTACTTTACCTCCTCGGAGTGGCCAATGATTAGAGTCACGATCAGTCTCAGTTATCTGGCACATCTGGGCTAAATCCATCCAAGCCAAGTCACAAACTTTTCCCAGTGCTTAAGTTAATGTTTCTTTGCAGGTTCATGTGATTCTGAAGGCTTTATAACATCAGCTTTCATACTGCATGTTGTGGTGAACATCAGGCACCTGAAGAGAAGCGTCTGGGGCTTGATCAAGGTCATGGATCTCAGCTCTCTTCTTTACTGCCTCAGTGCGCAGGTTGTGACCTGCCCAGGTATTCACTCCAGCACTGGGGTACCGTGGGGTATGTGTGCAGCAGAAATTAAGGCTCTTCTCCTAGATTTCCAGATATTCACCCAGAACTGCGTTGCCCCCCTGAGATGGAATGAAACTGATCGTTGGTGACTCCATAGTCTGGTGCATTTGTTCCAAATACACTAAAGTCAAGTTGTGCACTTAGACTTTATTAAATGTGATCACAAGGAAATCTTTGTAGATCCCTGCAATGCTCAGTGCTGATGAGCATCAGCATTGACGTTGTCCTGCATGCAGTGTTGAACAACATCAGGCTTCAGCAGATGGAGAAGAGTGGCATCAGAAGCCTAACGGAAACTAAAAGTTAAGGACCATCTACCATGTATAACGTACAATAACAGGTTCGTAGAATTGTTGTTCAGAATGAATAGTTATAATGCGTAAACAAACAGCTTTTTAACTTGTTTTTTTTGTAAGCCTCAGGCTTGTCTGTGCTGACTGTCTGCACCCCAGCAGAGCTGGACCTGAACTCCTGTCAGACAACATCTCCAGGAGTCTTCGCACTACCTGACTATCAGGTAATTCTTCTCTGAGCATTAGACTACACTAATACCGGTGATTTATATTGTCATCAATACTTGCCTATATTTTCAGTGTGTGGGGACTCTGAGCTAGAGGTGGCGAAGCTTGGCTGGAAGTTCATGGATCTAGGACTGGATCGGTGCTTAATTTACTAGCCTGACGGTTATGTGAGGTATGTTTGCAGCATGGCACTGCTACTCTGACCACACCTCAACTCTTTCTTTCTTCTGTACAGGCTCAGTGCACCGGTTGTGACATGGCCAGGTGTTCACTCCAGTGCTGGGCTACCGTGCACCACATGTGCAGCAGAAGTTGAGGCTCTTTCCTCCCAGCCTTCCAGATCCCCATCCATCTTTGAACCTCTGCGATTGAATGCGTCTGATCATCAGTTACTATAGATTAGAAATATTTTTACCAAATCCACTAATGGTAAGGTGACCGCTCAGTTTTCCTAGTGCTCGTGTTATTAAGGTTTGTCTGAAGGTCTCTGCAATCCTCAGTGCTGATAAGCATGGGAGATGTTGAACAACAAGCTTCAGTAGAAGGACAGCCTGAAGAGTGATGTCAGGTGCCTGATTAAAACCAACCTCAAGGATTGTCCTCTTATTACAGACAAGGACGTTAACGGTAAAGTAGAATCTTTTCTCTGAATGACTGTTTATGCTGTCAACAAACATCTTTTAATTACTGGCATGTTTTCTGTAAGCCTTCTAGGGTTGTCCGTGCTGACTGTCTGCAAACCAGCAAAGCTCAACTCCTGCAGATGTTGTCTGACAGGACTGTGGGTGAGGAGTGGAGCTGCAGTTTGAGCAGGAGGCAGAGGAGAAGCTTTACCTGGAGTTCCTGGATTGCAGACTTCAGCTTGATCTGCTGGGCTGATGCTTGTTCATCCAAGGTAAGTTTGCAGAATTATATTGATGCTGAATTGTGTTCATGTTGTCATTTATGCTGTTGAATAATCTGTGACGGGTCACTCCAACTGAATATTTTTTTTTCTGACAATAATTATTAACACTCCTGACATTCCCACTTTCAGAACACAAATTTATTGTATAATGTGAAAATTAATTCATGAAAATTGTGAAATTAAAAGAACAGTTAAGACGTCTGGTCTCTGCATCAAGTCAGGGTGCGCCTGTATAAATGCACACGTGGTGGCGGAGGCACACTCTAAACTCATACTGGAGAAAACTGCACTAGTAAATTACACGAAGGCGTCATGTTTTGGGTAATTAATTCTTTAAATACAACTCTCTGCAGCTCTAAAGGGGAAAAAATTGCTAAAGAAATTTGCTGTTAAATTAATTTTAGCAGAGACTCAACTGGCAGTCATTTTCACATTAGTTTTTAGTTGGGGATTATTATTATTATTATTATTATTATTAGAGTAGCTTAATAAAAATGTTTAGCTCGACAGTGTAGAGTGTACACTATGAACAATATGATCATTTATTTTATTCATTATTATTATTATTAGAAATAAGCTATAAAATGGACAATACAGAACCATTAAAAATATTTGCTTTAATTTTGACCCTGCTAATGCGCACTTACAGGTGTGAAAATGAACATCCATCATGCAGCAGCAGTTAAGTTAGGACCCTTAATGCCATATGAGTGTAAAGATGATCGACCTGTGAGTCAAGTTTACATTGTTCTAAATGAAAAAGGTATACAGTGCGTGAGAGGGTGAATCTGCTTCAGATCCACCTCTCGCATGCTGTGCAGATAGGCTGAATGGTAATTGGGTAGGTAGACAAGCTCTCTGCTTTGCTATTAAAATGTAACTTAACACATTTGGCTATTATTTTTAAAACTACTTTCAGTTGTAAGATTTAACGTTCTCCTAATGCTCATATTGGTTGGGCAATGAAGCGTGATGACTTGGTTATGATTTATTTAGTGGGTCAGCTTGCATGTATGGGCATAGGTTGATGTCTTCACCGAAAACTTTAAACATTTGTTATTTGAAATAAAACGGAAAGAAATGAGAAGAAAAACATAATTTAAACCTCTCTTCTGGTGCTGAAGCCAGGATCTGTCTGAATTAATGTAAATGGTGTCGTTGCCTAGACTTCATTGATAAAATCAGTAATATTGAAACTGCATAGTATAATTACTAAAAGTATATTACTGCATTAACTCCGCAGGTCCTGCAGCAATGCAAACTAATATGTTGATAAATAAATGAAAGGAGCAAAAAGGACCAACATTAGCCATCAGGTTAAGTGCCCCCTATGGGATTAAAATGCCCTCTCAGTTATGACATCCTCGGGCTGGGCTGGGCTGGGCCTGCTTTAAGTGCTAATGCTGGGTGGCTCAAATTTATTACCTAAAAGTTTAGATGATAGGCTATTACAAATTTATAAAAAAAAATATATTTAATTATAGCAAAGAATTATGTGAAAGGGAAAGGGATTGTCTTTATAGTGATGTATGTTTTCTTTTCATGGTGTAATGTTAAATTATATTAGGCTACTTTCATCTGGACTTAATATTCTAAAGCCTTTAAACTTTTAAGGTCTTAAATTACTATTCAGTCAACAATTACAACTGTTTAATTTATCACGTGGAATAAAGAGTGCTAAATAACAGGAACAATTATATTCTGCAGACACAAGAGCACTAAACAGTTAGCGGCGCCATCTAGCGGCGGTGTGTGGATCTGTCTCCATGTTAGGGTTAGTTCTGTATAAACGGATATAAATATTACTTGGGTCACTACTAAACTGCTAAACATTGCAGCTGATGAAACAAACTTAAATTGTCTGGGCCAAAATGAAATATTTATATAAAGAATATCAATTATTATGTTTAGAAATATTGTTTCTATTTAAAAACACACAAATACATATCTTCCATTCATTCATTTTCTTTTTGCCTTGGTCAATTGATCAGGGGTCGCCACAGTGGAATGAAAAGGCAAATTATTCATCACGTGTTTTATTCAGCGGATGCTCTTCCAGCTGCAACTCATCACTGGGAAACATCCATACACTGATAAGGAGGTCGCACAGCAGATGCGCTGCTCTGACGTGACGCGGCATGCATTTCAGAATTCTAAATATAGGTTTCTCAGGACACGTTAGTATATCTGCTGCACCACAGAGCACCATCTTAATAGTTTTATTTGAAATAACATGTAAATGTGTGCGATACTTCCAACTGTCATGTGTGCACTCTGTCTTGGTGCGGCGCATCCGGTGAGCAACCTGCTATACACTGTCATCAATTTTAGCTTACCCAATTCCCCTATTGCGCATTTGTTTGGACTGGGGGAAACCATGGGGAGAACATGCAAACTCCACACAGAAACTCCAACTGACCCAGCTGAGGCTCAAACCATCAACCTTCTTGCTGTGAGTATATATGCATGTGTAAATGTATATTATTATTTTTTTTTTAAGGGCGGCAAGGTCTTGTTTTCCTCTTTGTTTTCGGTTGATCACAAGCCTGTTGACGATAATGTGCATACACACTGCACTACAGACAGCAGTAATACTGATGAATATACTTGTATTTTAATTCACCAATACTAGTCTACCATTTTGAGTGCAGGTGAGGACACATCAAGCTGCAGTTGGAGCAGGAGGCAGTGAAGAAGCTTTGCTGGAGGTGCTGGATCTGCAAGCTCAGTTTTTGGATTTGAGTCTTGCTTGATGAAGTGCACTGATGTTTGCTCATCTGAGGTAAGTTTTGTGGAATGATGTTGATACTCCAATCAGCTTAACTGTGCCTTCCTCATGCTTCCTCCTCCCAGCCTCACAGATCTCCACCCAGGACTTTGTCTTTCTAAAAGGGAATGAGACTCCTCATTAGCTGTGTTTCGACTATCGCGACTAAAGTGTGTCAGGGCCCAGTCGTGTTTCCGCTGTCACTTTTTGGGGCCAAAGCAGGGAGTCCTCAGGGCCAGCAGCTGGCCTTTTTTTTTGGCTCGCTGAATACCTTGGGTCAAAGAGGGGGATCTGGGGCTTCGGGATAAAGTGAAAGGAGAGGCAGAGTCCAGATTCCAGAGTCTGGTAAAGATAGCATGCTGCCATTTACACATGTTTTTATTTGACATGGCAAAAAGTAAGAATAAAACTAGATATCTGGAGCTGTATTATTGGAAATCTGCAATGAAATATAGCCTACATTTTTTACTTTCTCTTATTTCCTGAATCACGTAACTGTGTCCTTTACTTCAGATCACAGAGTATCATGCAACATCCTTACATTTTTCTCTTAAATGAAGTGGAAATTACCTAATAAGTGTCATAGCCTATGGAATTATTAATACGTTTTAGGTCCCTTGGATGAATTGGGCTGAATGTTTGATGGTGTCTATCTAAACGAGGATGTTAAACACATTTTATACTGAGTTACTATCAAAACATTTCTGTGGTTTTTATATCATGGATGGAGCGCTGGGTCATCCCTCTGTTAGTGACGGGACCACTATGTACAATGCCAACAGTGGGTCGGTGAGTAAACCAATATTATAAATGAGAACACACAGACCTGTGCGAATTGACATATAATGTAATGCAATACAGTAATTAGTCATTTGTTTATTTTAGTTGTGTTTATTTTAATTGTTTCATGATGATGCGATGGTGTTTTATCTGCCTGTCTGATTTACACTGACCTGGGTGGGTTGTGTGATTTATTTCAGGGACGGTCTGGTGGTGAGCTTTGCGTGACATGCTTTGCGCTGCTAGGCCGACAGTGGAAACCGGACATGGTTTCGGCCCCACTGCTTGTGTTCACAGGCTATTGGCGTGGCCCAGCCTGATAAAAGCCCTGGCTTGCACTGACCCGACAGTGTAAATGCAGCTACTGGTGAGTCTATAGTTCTGTATATCTCGGTTAAATCCATTAAATGTAAGGTGTGCACTCCGTTTTCCTGGTGCTCCTGTTAATGAAGTCTCTCTTCAGGTCCTTGCAATCCTGAATGCAGATGAGCATTGCAGCTTTCATTGTCCTGCATGCAGTGCTAAACCTCAGGTTCCAGCAGATGGAGGTCCTGAAGATGTTATCCTATCATAAGTTATCCAGAAGCTATCCTGATTATCAGTTCAGGACTTCTCTTTACATACCAAAGATGATAAATGGTTCGTAATCTCTGCTCTGAATAAATAATTGTGGATGACAAACTGCTTTTAACCAATTTTAATATTATAATAATATTATTTTTAATATGATTCCTCAGCAGTTCCAATGACTAGCCATTCCAAGGCTGAACTCCTGTATCAAGAGGAGTGTGTGGTGTCATAGTACTGGCTGTGGATTTTTCTTTGACTGATCAAGTGACTTCAGTGTATTCCTGAACTGCAGGTTTGTAGAGAAACTCTTCTGTAAGTAATGATCCAAGCCTTTAACCATCTTCCGCATGCAACAGCACTTGATTTCCAGGTAAAGATGACTCTGATGTTGGTCTGTATGGAGAAGTTGCATTACATTGAATTGTAAAATGACAAATAGTTGGCTTATGGTCTATCCCAGGTCTGTGAAATTGCTGAGGTGAGTTGTGTTTAAATGCATGCTCCCAGACACCTGGTAAGCGTTTCCCTTCTCAGCATTTCAGCAGCAGCTTGATCGCATCTACAGACTTGCTCTACTCATAAGTACATGACACAGATGGGTAAATATTAAAGTTTGTCTTCCAGGTGGAGCTGACTCTGTTGTTCTGCATGGTAAGCTGTAGCTGGTTTATAGACAATCTTAGGTCTGTGATTTTGCTGAGGTGAATTTTGTTTGACCGTACACTCTGGCACATCTGGTAAGTGTTTCTCTTCTCAAGGTGTCAGCAGCATCTTCACTGCTCCAGGAGACTAGCTCAACCCAGATGGGTAGGTATTAATGTTTGACTTCCAGGTAGAGTTGACTGTGGTCTGTATGGTAAGCTGTAGTAGGTTATGGTCAGTTTTGGGTCTGAAATTACCGAGGTGAGATTTGACCATACGCTCGGGCACATCTGCTAAGTGCTTCTCTTCTCTTTGTTTTGTGTGCAGCAGTGGACCATGGAAAGAGTGAGGTTTTCGTCCACTGCCCAACACTCAGATCTCCACCCAGAACAGCTTTATGCTCTGAGACGGATTGTGACTGATTACTGAACACTCCATCATCTGGCACATCAGGGTTAAATGCAATAAGGCTATGTTAGAAACCTTTCCCTGTGCTTCTGTCAATGTGTCTGCAGGCTCCTGTGATCCTGAATGCTGATGAACATCTGCTGTCGTACTCTGTGGTGGTGAACATCAGGCTGCAGCAGATCAGGAGATCCTGAAAAGTGATGTCATGAGCCTGATCCAAAACAAACTAAAGGACCATCCTCCACGTACCGACATGGACCTCAACAGTTCAGTAGAATGTTTGCTCTAAATGAATTAAAACAATTAAATGAATTTAAACAAACTACTTTTTAATTCCTGGGTTTTCTGTGAGCCTCCTAGGCTGAACTCCTGTCAGACAAAATTACATGGTCAATTTCCTAGAGCTTTTCACACTCTAAGTAACCACACACCATTAATACTTATCATTTATATTGTCATTAGTATTTGTCTACATTTACTGTGGTTGAGGATTCTGAGCTAGATGTGTTGATTCTACCTGACTGATGGTAGCTCGTGCGAGCTAGGTTTTTGTTAAGTCTCTCTACAGGTCCCTGCAATCCTCAGCACTGATGAACATCTGAACTGTCGTCCTGCATGCAATGGTGAACAACATCAGGCTGCAGCAGATGGAGGACCTGAAGAGTGGAATCTATGAGCCTGATCAAACGTGTCGTTGGTGATCCAGATCATAATCCTGGACTGCTCCCTATGTATGGAAAATGACACGGTTGGTTAGACTCTGCTTTGAATAAATAATTATTGTAAATGGCGAACTGCTGTAACTATATTTTTTTATTTGCTCGGAGGGCCTAGGCTTTTCCATGTTGGACATCTGCACTTAAACTGAGGTAAAGCTGATCTCGCCTAGGACTACACCTTCAGGACTCTGCACTAAGTAAATTTCTACAAAGCACTGTGCACACCACACCAAGCCTTTATACTAATGATTTGGACTCTTTTATTCACGAATACTCCTGTTTACCTTTTTAAGTGCAGGTGAGGACTCATCGAGCTGCAGTTGGAGCAGAAGGCAGTGGAGAAGCTTTAATATAAACACTTCAGATTATTTCATGAACATTCCATAATGCCATCACATTAATAAGTCAATTCTCATTTTAAGAGGCTTGTTTCTGTCATTTAACCACTCACTGTTCACATATATTACTGGTTATCAAATTATCTGTAAATGAATGATCATTTTCATCAGAGCATGCTTTATTATCATTATCCATCATCAAAGTAATGAAACAAAATCCAGCATAGCCATTAATAATATATAATTTTTCCATCATTTTTGGTCATCATTACTTGTGAGATAAATGTTCTCCTGGAGCGAATATAAAGAGCTGCACTAAATCAGCTATGCTTTACACAAACGGTAACCCCACAAAAATATTTTTATCAGTAATGACAGTTATTTTTTTCTTAAACGCTGTTTCTACATAATATCTAGATTGAAATGGTGAAAAAATGAAAACAAAATATTCAAAAACAACAGAGATATGACGGATTGAAACTGACCTAAAGCACATTCAAATGAGAACAAACCGGATTGGTGCAAAAACACGAATACTAATGAGACATTCTCGTCTGCTTTATTCTCTACTAAAACAAGCTTACAAAGCCTTTTAAAATCATAAGTATCATGATTTAAAGTATGAAAAAACAACCTAGACATCAGATAATCAAATTCTGACTGATAATATACAAACACATGGTGATGAAGTCACGATTTTTGAGAATGCTTTTTCAACACTTGGTCAATAGCCTTAAACTATCCTTATCCCTTTGTTCACCTAACATCTTTAAGCATAGAAAAATATTATATTAAAATTCAAATGAGATGTATTAAAATATATATTACAAAATATAAAATGTCAATTTAAAATTATAATGTTTAAATGAATGTCCATTGGCCACATGTATGACCAAGTAAATTATTTGATTAATTTTTATGTCACCTGAAATGCTTGTTTAATCTCTGTAAGTAATGAGAATTTCTTGATTGTTCCATAATTCTCTGGGCCCTAAATCAAGAGCTATCAGATTACTTACAATCTTTAAGCAACATGTAAGTTTACAATTATCCTTAAAATATTTCTAAGTCATGCTAGCATCAATTCAACATACTTCACTGTCTCAGAAACTATATTATGTAAATATGTAGTTTTCCACTGACCATATATTATTTAAGAGATGGTAATTATCATCATCATCATCATTAATATTATCATTAATTCTTATCATTTATGTCTCACATGTTAATTTGTAATTTTATACATCACTGGAGCGATTATAAGGAGCTGGACTAAATCAGCTATGCATTACACAGACGGTAACCCCATAAAAATATTTTTATCAGTAATTAGTTTTTGTTGGGTTAACAGTTTCTACATAATATCTAGATTAAAATGGTGAAAAAATGAACTCTAAATATTTCAAAACAACAGAGATATGAAGGATTGAAACAGACTTAAAGCATATGCAAATGAGAACAAACCGGATTGGTGCAGAAACATGAATACTAATGAGCCATTCGTGTCTGCTCTATTCTCTAATAAAACGCGATTTTAAAGGTCTTCATGAGCGATGATTAAAGCATCAATAAACAAGGAAGACATCAGGTAATCAAATTCTGAATGATAATATACAAACAAGAGCAAAAAAAAAAAAAAAAAAACGTGTGTCACCATGATTGAGAGCGCTGTCTCTCAACACCTGGCCATTGGCCTTAGACTGATCTTATGCCTTGAGTTTTACTTTCAGCAGTTTCTTTGACAAAGATGATATCAGTCTGGTTCGTGTTAATGCCCTAGTGGAGAGCAATATCAAAATTTGTTACTATTTTGTCACTCTCTCCTAGAGAAAGTAATAAAGAAAAATTACAAAGAAAATCCCACACTTTACATTTATCTCTATAGTATATAATTCATTTTTCTCAAGTATTTTTGGGGCAGGACGAGCCTCACTCAACTCATTTGAGATCCAAATCTTTTTGTAAAACACACAAACCTCTTAAAACCCAATTTTTTCATCAAAATATCAGAACCCAAAACAAACATAATGAGGATTTGGTCAAGTCCCTATCATAAATTGGCAACAAGACACTGGCCTGGGATTGATCAACCAGAGCTGATCGCCTCAGATGAGTGTGTGTAGGGTTTAAAGAGTCAACACCCGATGAATCTGAGGTACACTACTGATGAAGTGTCAAACATTTCCCTCTCTCTACTGGTCTTGGGATTGGTTTTTCTTTTGGTTACTCCCCCAACCCTTACCCATTGATCCTTCAGCGAAACCATTCCAAAGGCATTTGCACGTCGTACCACAATCAACAATTATAACACAAAACCAAACAAACAGATTAAGAATCTAGTGACTTCCCGATTACAAATTGACAACAAGACACTGGCCTGGGATTGATCAACCAGGGCTTATAGCCTCAGAGGAGTGTGTCTAGTGTTTAAAGAGTCGAAACACCCGATGAATCTGAGGTACACTACTGATAAAGTGTCTTAAATTTCCCTCAAAGCTGGTCTTGAGGGAGTAAAAAAGAAAAGAGAAAATTTGCACCTCTTAAACATCGATCTCAACAACGCTTTCTTATCGAAACCATTCTAATGGTGCCACACATCATACCATGATTAACAATTATAACAGTAAAACACTTCCTCTGAAGTTATAAGGCCAAAGCCCACAGACAAGGCTAACCTCCTACACAGAAGTAAGATCAATGCTTTTTTTGGTATATAGCCAGACAAGTGTGTGTCCGTGTACGTAGCTCTGTGTCCTTACTCCAAAACGTCCTAGACTTGATGCAAGGATAGGGAAGATGTTGTAAATTTATCTAACTTCGCCAGAGCCATCAGCCTTGATGTATACCAATCTATGCTCAGGATCATTTCAAGGACAGTCATTCATCCACTTATTTTCTTACCTTTGAATGGCTCACTCTGCCTTACCCGTTTACCATTTATCAAACGAAGCAAAAAGGGGAAGTTATTATAATAAAGTAACTGATTTATAAGTAAGCTTAATACTTCATATTATATAGGGAACACGTAACAGGCTAGACGTAATAATCTCCAGAAAATGCACAGATAAGCCAACAAAAGAAACTAAAAAAATCCATTCAAAAGGACAGCACATGCAGTATACATGTTGATAACAAGTGAAGATGCAAGTGAAACAAACAGTAAAGATATCATAATAAATATTGAAACATTTTGTATGATTTTAGTAGCTTGTACGATCTACTAAGGCAAAAAGTCAAACAGAAGTACACAAATTATCACTTAAAAAGGTTAATAAACAGGTCATTAAATAAAGACCAAAGTTAAGACAACACAAAGAATATTAAAACATCTTGATAAACCATACAAGCAACTGAAATCCTCAAACAAGGGCCTTAACCAAACTACACACCTTGTCGATCATGGTATCTCCCCTGCCAGAACAAAAACCAAACAGCTCACCATCTTTGAGAATACAGCGCTCAAAAAGGTAGACGTCAGCCTTCCTGTGTCTCTCTTCAGGGTTAATGCTCCCAACGGTTGTTCTCTGTGAGAATGATGTCGGTTTGGTTCTTGCATTAACTCTAGAGGTAAAAGCTGGTAGAAGCTTGTTACATTTTCTGCGATGTAACCGCCAGTTTGATCCTCGACCTGACACTTGCAGGCGTGGAGCGTCAGGACTCGTGCTCTTGATGCCTCTGATCTCGTTTGGGAATGTTTTCTGAACTTCCCAGATGTTGACTGGAAGTATTCTAGAGTAAATCAGCCATGGGAAAGGAGGTGGCACCGAAATGTTCGAGGCCAACTCGTTCTCCTGAGTCCACTTGTGGGATTCAGCTGATTTGGGCAAGGGTTCTCATTTACCCTGGAGAAATCTGGGGTTCTTGGGAGCTTTTCTCTGCATTTGACAGAGTAGGCCCCACATAGATTTCTGCAGACTCTTCTCGGGTGACCTGGGAAACCTTGCGGTGTTAACAAAAGGTCACTTGGGGGAGTGGTAAGTATTCAGCCCCCCTGGGTCCACTTGGACAGCACGCAGGGACGGTGGCCTGGGGCGAACAGGCCTTAAATGATGCCCAGTCTTCTACTGGTGATTAGCACCTCCACACAACAGCACATTGTTCACCAACACTGCATACACTACTACATTTCTCCAGGTATTTAGTTCTAGCTGTTCTCTAGTTCTAGGTGTTGTCTTAATAGTGTTGTCAAGTTCTAGGTGTTGAGTTGTAGATGTCATTGTCTTCCAGGTAATGTTCTATCTTCTAGGCATTGTATCTTATAGACATTGCTGTTTTAGATGTTTATTTCTAGGCTGTCATCTTCTAGGTTGTTTTTAGATGGAATCTAGGTGTCGTTGTCCTTTTAGGCATCATCGTCATCTAGTCTCATGTAGCTGTTAGATCTCATCGTCATCTAGTCGTCTTCATCTAGCTGTTGCTTTAGATCTTGTCGTCATCTAGTCGTCTTCATCTAGCTGTTGCTTTGGATATCGTCGTCATCTAGTTGTCTTCATCTAGCTGTCTTCATCTAGCTGTTGCTTTGGATATCGTCGTCATCTAGCTGTCTTCATCTAGCTGTTGCTTTGGATATCGTCGTCATCTAGTTGTCTTCATCTAGCTGTCTTCATCTAGCTGTTGCTTTGGATATCGTCGTCATCTAGCTGTCTTCATCTAGCTGTTGCTTTGGATATCGTCGTCATGTAGTTGTCTTCATCTAGCTGTCTTCATCTAGCTGTTGCTTTGGATATCGTCGTCATGTAGTTGTCTTCATCTAGCTGTCTTCATCTAGCTGTTGCTTTGGATATCGTCGTCATCTAGTTGTCTTTATCTAGCTGTTGCTTTTGATCTCATCGTCCTCATCTAGCTGTCTTCATCTAGCT